TGTCTTCGGGTTGGATCACTGATTGCCAGACTACCCTGCTTATACCGTTTGGAAGTTCTTCATTGCCTCTCCATAGCATGGTTGTCACCTGCCGTTTTAGTGATCGAGTGGCCTCCTTGCTGAGGGCCCAAATTGCAGATTTGTACCAGAGGGCTGCCAATATTACACTGTTGATCACCAATGCCCTTCCGATAAGGGAGATGTGACGGTCTTTCCAGAGGGCCAGTTTCTCTAACGCTGGTTTCTGGATCCACTTGTCGTTCGATCCAGGCTTGCCTAGTGCCGTTAGCATGATTCCCAGCACCTGGACCGGGGTTGTTTTCGGGAGTTACAGACAACCATGCTGCTTATTCCGGTCCGAAAGAAAAATGGGAAATGGGAAGTGGGCCTGTTTCCAGAAAGGAATGGCAAACAGGGGACTGTCACGCTACAGGGCTAGTCGTCCTTTTGGGCGGAAAACAACCGTTCAGAAGCTGCGGCTGAAATTTTGCAAATGCAATTAGAATCCCACATTGCAGAATCCTTACGGCCAGAGGCACAGGCCATGGCCTCGATTTTATCAGGCCCCAACAAAATAGCACAAAGGGATGTTTACATACGATACGATCCAACCAGGGAGGCAGACATGAAATGGCACATCTACGCCCAACTACTGAACCTACAAATGGTCAAGATTGGACACAGTGATATCTGGGCTGAACAGGATGTCCAGAGGTGCTTATGTGCCCTCCTTAGACAAGGCCAAGACTGGGACAGGGACCAACTGCCGTGGACCCGCCTCTAACAAGCATAAGAGGATACAATGAATAACACGAGCAAGATAGACCCTGTCAGAGCAGTGTACGAGAAGGACCGTATCTGGAACCAATGCACGAGAGCAACCGATCTAAACTTACGCTCCTTGAACATGAACGGTCTGGCCACCTGCAAATCAGATAAACAAAATGCAATCTGGGACTTGATGAGAGGAATGAGGGGTAGAAACTGGCCAGATATAATATGTGTCCAGGAAACACACTTGATGGACACCCCAGAGCACAACCGCATTCACAAGTTGATCTGGACATATAAAGCCTTCAGGGCTCACGCCCCGAGGCTAGGAAGCGCTGGGGTGGCCATCTGGATCCCCTCGGAGTCTCGGGCAAACCCGGTCCACTGAGTGGTGGATCAAGGGGAAGGTCGGTGGGTGTCTGTCCTGGTTACACTGAAACTCGAAATTGTATGCATATTATGTATCTACGCTCCCAACATTATAAGCGAGAGAAGAACCTTCCTTGAGAATATCAAAGTGCAAATACCGAAAGGGGTCCCGATCATTATTGTTGGAGACTTCAATGCAGCCCCGGACCGATGGATGGACAGATGGCGGACGCCCTCCCCGACCCCGATGTATGTGGAGGAGGGTAAGCGGATGATAAACGACTTATGTCTTTTCCTGAAAGTCTTTAACTCCTTCCGGAAACTGAATCCAGATACTAGATTCTAGTCATGTTTACAGAAAATTGGAACCGAAAGTCAAACGAGATCCCGGATCGACCTTATTCTTATCTCGGAGGATATGGGGGTTCCCTACTTCTAGCAACAATCATGCCTGCAAGCCCATATCTGGGCCTCGATCACAAAATGTGCACGGTCACTCTTTCCTTTCGAAAGAAGCCCGATTGGGGACCCGGTTTCTATAAACTTAACACCTACATCCTACAACAGAAAACCTTTCAGAACTACATTACGGACTGTTGGACGTACTGGCACTTGCAAAAGCAACACTTCCAGCAGTCAATAGACTGGTTTAATAACGGATTATTCTATTTGGGTGAAAAATGCCGTGAATACCTTAAACTGATAGCAACTAGAAAACATCAACAGGAAATGGAAATTCACCAACAATTGCAGCAACTCGAGCACCAAGACCAGTCTAACGACACCCAACATTCACAGTCAGAAGAATATCCAGAGATACAAACACTGAGACAACGACTCCATATTTTCGCCACACAACGTTGGGAGGGAACATGGATAAGAGGACGGCTAATAAGATACCACACAGAAGGAACAATGGATAAAAAATTCTTCAGCATGGCTCGAGTGCGTTCGCGCAGAACAACCATCGAAGCACTACATGATCCACGAACTGGTCACCAGGATATCATCACCTTCACCCCCCATTGTACACAGATAGCAAGATCTTTCTACCAGGACCTGTTCACCTCGAGGTGTGCCCGGCAGGAGAGGAAGGCAAGAGAGAAAGAAATCGGGGACTTCTTGGAACCATTGGAGAAAACCCTGACTGGACAACAAAGATCAGACCTGGATCATCCTTGTTCTAAGAGGAAATATGGACGGCGATGTTGCAGATGGAAAAAAAGAAAACGTCGGGCATAGATGGGTTTCGAAAAGAATTCTGGGAAACCTTCTGGACTCAGATGGCCACGAACCTCATGGAGTTTTATCAGCAGGTGTGGGAAACAGGGAGAATGAGAGAGCTGGTGGGACAGGGTGTCCTCACCTTGTTACACAAAAAGGGAGACAAGATGGATATTTGAAATTACAGGCCAATAACCTTGCTCACAGTGGTTTACAAAATGTTGGCGAAGGCCCTGGCGAACCGACTACTCCCACTTTTGGAAGACATCATACATCCGACGCAAACTGGGTTTATCAAAGGGTGCAGGATACAGGATAACATACTATTAGTTAAAGAGCTACTTAAACTAACAAGACAGGACAAACAAAATGCGGCAGTGGTCTTTATAAACTTTGAAAAAGCCTATGACCACGTGGACTGGCTCTTCCTAGACAAATGCATGGAAAAAATAAATATAAGGTCTGCTTTCCGGTGCTGGACCGAAATATTCCATCACAACGCAACCACGTGTGTTTAGGTAAATGGAAGGATAGCACGGGCCTTTTCGCTGCAGCGGTCGGTTCGCCAAGGGGACCCTTTGACACCCTTCTTGTTTATTATTGTGATGGAAGCACTGGCAGCGAACCTCCGCACCAACAAAGACATGAGGAAACTGCAGATCTCGGCCATACCGGAAGAAGCAATCCCAATCTTTTCGATGTTTGCAGACGACCTGACACTCATGGTCGATGCAACCTCAACAAATATGGAAGAGATCAGACGATTATTCGACCGGCTTACAGCAATCTCAGATATGACTGTCAACTGGGGAAACAAAACCCTGGGATGGTGGATCCACCATCAAGGGACGCGTCGTGTCCAGCTCAACTGGCGTACAATTCTTTCGCCTTTTCCCCTTTCGACCATTAACGGGCGTTGGGGTATCTTCTTTTTGGCACGAGGATAATGCATGAGTCCAATTGTCATTGAGGCCTCCCTACTGTGAAGTGTTTTTGCTTTCTTAGGATTTTCAGAATTTTTGTTTTTCTTCAATGTCAATGAACTTTACGTAGGACGCGCGCCTTAGCGAGCTCACGAGGAATTTTGTTCAGCAATTGGTAGTTTCGGAATTTGCGGGTGCACTTACCATTGATGTGTCCTTTCTTGCACATGAGTATCCCCAAATCCGTATTGAAAAACTCGGTGAATTTTCTGAAGGAATAGGAATAGGCATAAGAATTTACGTGTCCATTTTCGCGCGCAGGTATTGCTTTTGAAATTTTCAATCTTGAATCAGTTCTAGAGTTGACGATGCGCGCTCCTACGAGGAGGCGTCATACTACGCGCAGCTCGTGGCGAAGCCCACGATTGTGGCGGCTGGTTCACAATCTTTCAACTGGCGCCGACATGTTCTCCAGTCCACGAATGTCGTATTGACTCGCCTCGGGAAGCCGCCCTTGACGATGGGTGTGTTTCCTAACTACATCCCGGAGTGGGCTTTATGTGGAGTGCGCTTCAACTACCACACTGGTTTGGAGGACCCCAACATCGTGGCAAAGATGGACCGGATGGGGACGGGACCTTTTGATGGCGTTCGCAAGGAGGACGGTCCCGACGATGAAGCAGTTGAATGTGGTGGATATGGCCGTCTTGCACGTCGTGGCAGCATGCTTCGCCCGTGGAGTGGAATCGTCCGCAGTCTTCTGCAGCACACCCGTCATGTTGGTTTGTGTATGGCGGGTGCGGGGGCAGGGGGGGAGGTGTGTTGACGCAGGATTGGAATGGGGGAGGCAGGGATGGCGAGGTTTCGGGCGGGTAGGGGGGGATGTGTAGATGCGTGTCGACCATTGAGGGGCGCTTTGAAGTTGGTGCGGCCGTTTGTTTCGCCATAGTCGTGTAGTGTGCCACGTCGGCCGCCGACGCGCATGTTCGTGGCAACCAAGTGTGGACGTGGTCGGTTTCGTTTTTGTTTTATTGCGGATTTGTACAGTGCATGCATTGCTCAGTGAAGACCATGTGATTAATGGCACCTTTTCATGGATACCACAACAAGAAAGGATGCGTATTTTCAATTTCTTTCCTGGATGCAGGGCATGTATTGAATGGTACATTTTGCAAGATTTTCCTTCCGCGTCTTTGAAAATTATTTTTTCGTATCGAAAGATTGATTGATTGATTGATTGATCGATTGATCGATTTATCGATGGTCGACCAATCGATTGATCCATTGATTGATTGATCGATTGGTCGGCTAATTGCTTCATCGATTGATCGATTGATTCATTGATTGATTTATTGGTGGATGAATTGAAGGAAATGCGCATGGATAGACAAGAAGGTGCTTCATTTGTTGCTGCATGAACTGAATGACACAAAAAATCTGCATCGATCAATTAACACAACAAAAGAACTCATAGATGACACAAAAGCGCATCCAAGGAAGCGGACTTTCAAAAATGGCACAAGAAAGACACCGTCGTTTGCGAAAACAACGTTATGGAGCAGCGCTCCGTTGCTCTTCAAAGGTTCGCGAACTGATTAAAATTCACGCTAAGTAACACTCCCGCCGGAGCACAACAACAGTCGCCCCCTCCGGTACATCACCACGTTCCCTTCCCCCCCCCCCCCTTTGAGCTTGCTGACGTAGCTACCGTCGTCGAGGGAGTTTGCGCGTTCCCGAGTGCTTCATGCGCTCCGCCAACGCTTCGCGCAACGCTGGCGCATGAGGTCGATTAAAGTTTTCCACGATGGGGTGGGGTGGGGGATCCAACCCCAAGTCCACTCGTCGGCGTGCGCCATTAGCGTCCACCTCCCACAACAAGTTCTCGTCGAAGTCCATGCCAACATCGAGGAGGATGTTGTGCAGAATGCACACGGCTTGGAACTGTAGCGGAAGAGTGTCTATATCCGTCTTGTGTGTGCGAAGGAACAACCTCCACATCCCTTTCAATCTCCTGAAAGCTCTCTCCACTGCTCCTTTGGCGACCTTCTACTCGTTGTCGAACCTCTCTTCGCCGGCACATTGATCGGTCCCCCCGTAAGGCACGACGATCCACTCCAGAGGAGGATAGCCGTTATCGCCAAGAATGTACCCGTGTGTCTTCACTCCGAATGGCAGCACCACAGCAGGTCCACGGAAAAGATCCCCCTCCTCCGCACGCGCCCACAGGCTGGAAAGCTGAAGCACGCAAATGTTATGGCAGCTCCCTGGATAACCGACGAAAACATTCGTAATGCGCAAGTCCAAATCCACCACCACCTGCGCAACAACGAAGAAACGATGTTTTCGATCGAAGTAGTTCTCCGATGGTGCATTCGCTGGTTTGTCCACGTATATGTGCGTGCAGTCTATGCCGCCATAGCAGTTGGGGAAACCCTTGGCCTCGAACGCGCGCAGAACGAGCACCCGCCACAACCCGGAAGGCCGAACGATGTTGTCACTGTACACGCTCAGAAGCGCCCTGGTGACGTCCTCGACTACGATCAAGCCTGATGCGCATCCTATGTCGAATGACGATGTGCTGCTCTCGTACGTCTCCCCGCTTGCCCATCGATACAGCACATATGCGATGATGTGATCCGGCATCAACGGTACCCTGTAGAATGTCACCCTCCGGAACAAAAGAGGGGACAACGCCTCCACGATCTCCCGGAACACCCTAAGGGATATCCTCAACTTCTCCTTGTAGTAATCGTCTGCCACGTCGTCGATTTTCCGGAGATCCTCCCATGTGCCTCCCGTCCTTCTCCTCATCCACCACCTGGGAGTCGCCCGCAGGATCACACCGGATGCCATGGCCCAGCAAAACTGGACAATGGATTCAGACATGGACACACAGTCGGGTGCCTCCATCACTTGTTGCAGGAGCTGACGCTGGCTGCGAATCGTCAGTCTCATCTTGAGGCGCGATGTTGTTCTCTCGATGCGATATCGCATGGCGACTGCCGAAACAGCTGCAACCACCGCATTTCTCTCCGAAGTCGTCAAAGGCGTTGCCACCGTGCTGCAGCTCTCCGACTATGATGACGTCGCGCAATGCGCTTTTCACCACCCTCTGCGTCGGCCGCCGGCACCGTCGTTCCACTCTCTCCGCGTGGACGGGAAAGGCACCAGTCTCACACAACTTCGATGGAGGGGCGACGTGCACGCTTTGCTATGGCGGCCCGCCGGACCCCGTTACAGCGGACGCACTCCGAAATTGTCACCCTCCGTACCGCGTCGGCACACATTCCAATCCCCGCACATTCAGCGATGGCAGCCGCAAATCCTCCACGCAGACGTTTCGCCCCGGTGTCCATTCCAGCGGTCTACACGCCACGGTGCGTCGATGCATATCAGCCAAGGGTTTGAAATTCAAAATTTCAAAAGGGATTCTCGCGCCTTTTTTGCTCTCCGCAGCCCGGAAGGCCTCCCTGCCGCCGCCACCGGACCACACTTGAGGACAGACTGGCATCCCACACTTGAGGATGGACTGACATCCCACCACGACGACGGACATCCAGCCCCGCGGCCGCATATATTGTCACAATGGAAATCAGAGCGCAAAAGCGAAAAAAGACAGAACAAGAAAAAGAAAAAGAAGGAAGGAAGGAACGCCCCACCTGTTCGTCACCTCTTACGTACAAGGCCAGCCACGTGGATGACAGGTTGAGTGCTGGCTGCCCCCATCCCCGTGTGTCATAAAGACCCACTTGCACGCAGTCAAAAGGCAAAGAGGTAAAGAAAAGGTGGAGGAAACCAAACCTCACAGAAGAAGAAAGCCTATTAACAGACGAAGCAAGTGACACATCCCACAGATAATCCAATTACCATCCCACAGAACATATTTTTCTTTTGTCTTTCTTCTTTATTCTCAGGTTTCTTTGTTGTGTTTTTCCTTCCTTGGTTTCTTTTTTTATTTATTTATTTTTTATCTTTTTACTTGGTTTCTTTTTTTATCTGTTTCTTCCACATTTCATCTGTCACCCCCTCGGCAGATAGGACAACCACGGTGCGGCAGATAGGACAACCACGGTGAGGATGACGGGGATGTTCACACAGATACCCAAGGAGAGTTGCGCTAGTACAGCATTCAGCCGGACGGCTAGCACGAACCATCCCATCGAAACAATCCCGACAKAGGACATGTTGCCCACATGTCAAGAAAACAGCAGGACGTTCGTCACAGTGCGGCATCATGCAGTTCTGATAGCGTCCTTGGGAACAGAAAGGACAACGTACATCTGGGTGATAGGGATGTGCACAATGAGGAAATGTTAGACACCCTTCCGCACATATGGCGGCAGTCGCAATGGATTGATAATGGTGCTGACACAGATAATGCATTCCACAACCAAGACGCACCACGTCTCTATCCCAACAAATGCCGCACGAGAGACGCTCAACAATCCAGAACAGTGTATGATTCGACAAACCTCGCAAGAATTCATTTATGTTGATAATAACCTGAATCACCGTCCCACCATCCCACAGTTCCCACTGGGCAGCTGCACGAATGAGTGCCATACAGTGCCCGGGCCGCATATATGCGTATGAAATTCGCCACGGGAGACCTCCGCGTTTTCTTTGGGACCCATTCGATTAGGACGCGGTGTAACGCCAAAACCCGTCGAATTTTCCAAGGTCCAGGATGTTGTAGAGGCTAATTACCAGGCACACAGGGATCACCGGGAGCGATGAGCCTTCACAGTCCTAAGATACGAGGTCACCTCCCACCCTACCACTCATCAATACTCCCAGCGTACCCCCTAACCCAACTATCTTACCTCAGTGTAACCCACT